ATCCCTGTGCTGAGTTCCCGGGTCTGTACACCTGCTGTGCCCATTATGAGGGGCCCCCACCATCCCTGTGCTGAGTTCCCGGGTCTGTACACCCGCTGTGCCCATTATGAGGAGCCCCCACCATCCCTGTGCTGAGTTGTGCCTATACAAAGGGTATATGTGAACCAAAAGGCTGAACTTCACATCGTTTTTTTGGTCCATTAAATATTCCAGCGGAAGTGTTTTGTTAGATTTTTTGCGGGGAGGGAAATCCTTGATGATCCCGCCAGAAATCCAGAGCTGTGCCGTGTCCTGTGCACACTTCCTGTGTTATCTCCAGGAGTCTAGTCAGCCCTCCCAGTTCTTACATTGGGGCCACAGTAAGCGCTGCGCTATATATATCCTCTATAATAATAATAATACAGAATGGGTAAAGCAGAGGTTTAACCCTTTCACTGCCAGAGCCATTTTTGCACACTTGTTAGGCCTGAAGATTATGTAAACCCCCCAGAATGATACAATTCCAGAAAGCCAAGACCCTATAGAATAAAATGGCGGCAGTTGCAAATGTTTGCGTCGCATGATATTAGCGCAACTCTTTGTCAAACCCCAAATTGCAACATTCACATGTTCACGGTGACGGGGGACTTTAAAATGTTTTTTTTTACATTCATTTAACCATTTTTTTTTTACTTAGCTTCATTGGTATCACGTAGGGGGGCTCACAGGCCCCCTATGTGGTAGTATGTTAGTGATGACAGGTGCTTTTTAGGGAGACATTAGGGGTCCTGTCATCAGTGGCGTCACAAGGGGGGGGTGCCACCATTGGAGGGGTGACACCAAAATGACTGGCTGAGGTGTCACCCCCTGTAAAAAGTTGGGCACTCGGTCGTTTTAACCGAGAGCCCGACAGTGTCAGGAGAGAGGAGGGGACCCGGAGGCATACCTCCTCTCTCTGCCGGCATCTTGGTGGCATCCCTCACCAAGATGGCCGCTGTGAGGCGTCAAAAAGACGGCCGCGCATGCGCGATGACGTCCCGGCGGGGTGTCACCCGGTCTCCGCTCCGGGTGTCACCCAGCCTCAGAACGCCCCCTGCCTGTAATGTCACCTTTGCAGACCACTGAAGCTGATCACATACAGATCGCGCCTGATCAGCTTCTTCCTCGGCTTCTCTATCCGGGGAATGACAGCTGAGGAGCCGGAAGTGATGCAATCAGCGTCGCTTCCGGCTTCACTGAGCGGGGAGGAAATCAGTTAATGGACATTCGCTGGTCTCTCTACTTGCTACCCGCCAACGCCCGTGATGCCAGTCCCGGGCCCGCAGGAGGGGCAGTGGAGTCCAGGAAGCAAGGCAGGAAGTGTCAGGTGGTGGGGGCTCTGTTTACCGCCCCCCGAAAACCTAAATTCAATCGCATCCAGTGTAAAGCCGACGGACGGCTTCCACTTTAGGGACCCGCTACTGCCGACGTCTGACATACATCAGCGGCAGCGAACGGGTTCATCTTATTACGCGGAAGTTATCAAAACTGGAGCACACAGAATCTGAGGCGGTCGCCCACGGCAACAAATCAGCTTCCCTCTTCAGTTAAGTTTTGAAAATGAAGGAGAGATGCTAATTTGTTGCCACAGCAACTAATCCTGATTCTGTCTGTTTTTACCTAAGCCCCGCCCATGTTTCCACAGGACAGCAAATTCAGCAGCGCGATGGCACCCCAGACTGCCGGTCCCCTTCACTCCCCTCCGCTGATATCCTTCTGGATCCTCAAGCCAATGGACATCCAATAGGAAGCGTCCAGGTCATGCAGGCACTGAGGAGGACATCCAAAGAAGGACCCAAGCAGGTAGTAAACAGAGGAGGTGGAGGCTCAGGACTGTGGAGTCACATGACCACAGTAAGAAAAAAAAAAAAAGGCTTTTATTCCACATTTGGGCTTTAAACTCAATGCTTCTGTTTTCATTACCTTACCTTAGATTCCGTGATGTCATCACCTGGTTCCTGTGCTTCTCTATGCAATGTAGGCAGATCATAGCTGGTGGGAGGGGTCCGGCAGGGTGCTGTACATAACATTGTGGTAATGCATGTTGCATGCATTGTGCTGTTGTTCGCTTTTAAGGGCGCCGCAACGCACCATAGCCCGCGGCGGTGCATTACAATGTTTGTGGTGCGTCTGTTTCAGTGCGTTGCCAACTAGCCTCATGCCACAAAAATGTGAACAGGCCCCAAGTATATTCCAGTTATAATAGTCTGCACTGTTTGGCACTGACAATTATCACACCAACAGAATGTACACAGAGAGATATAAACACACTATATAGCCAAAAGTATGAACTTTATTGGCATCCCTGTCTTAATCCGTAGGGTTCAGTATTGGGTTGGCTCCGCCCTCTAATGACATCCCAGTCTTAGTCCGTAGGGTTCAGTATTGGGTTGGCTCCGCCCTTTGCCGCTATAACAGCTTCGACTCTTCTGTGAAGGCGTCAACAAGGTTTAGGAGTGTGTCTATGGGAATGTTGGACCATTTGTGAGGTCATGTACTGATGTTGGAGGAGAAGGCCGGGCTCGCAGTCTCTGCTCTAATTCATCCCAAAGGTGTTCTATCGGGTTGAGGTCAAGTTCCTCCACCCCAATCTCCCCCACCCTTGTCTTTATGGACCTTGCTTTGTGCAGTGGTGCGCAGTCATGTTGGAACAGGAAGGGGCCATCCCCAAAGTGTTCCCACAAAGTTGGGAGCGTGAAATTGTCCAAAAATGTCTTGGAATGCTGATGACTTAAGAGTTCCGTAGCCCACCATAGACCCCGCAGAGCCCGCCACAGATCCTGCAAAGCACCCCTGAAACCCGGCTGAGGCCTTCACAGATCCTGCACAGCCCTCCTGAGACCTAGCCCCCTGTGAATCCTGCAAATCCCCCCTGAGACCCGGCAAAGCCCCCCCCACAGATCCTGCAAAGCCCCCCTGAGGCCCGACAAAGCCCCCCACAGATCCTGCAGCGTCTCAGGGGGGTTGTGCAGGATCTGTGGTGGGCTTTGTCAGCACAGTCCTCTTACCTTGCACGGCCTGACCTCTTTGGAACACGGCCTCCTCATCCTTGGCGCCCGACACGGCCTCCTTGTCATCATCGCCGCCCGACTGGAGCTCCGTCTTCGCCCCCCGCCTCTTCCGTCTCAGGGGCCACTCGACAAATGTTTTTCTCTCTTGGGGGCCGCTTGCCAAATTTCATACTTTAAAATAAAAAATAACTATATCCGGTTTGGTACTACAGACACTAATAATAAGGTCCTATCCATATCTGTAGGTTTAGGTGCGATTAGGGATTCCTGCATCAGAAACTTGCGTTTTACTGCAACAGGAATCCCTAATCTGGCGTTTACTAGCGACAGCTGTCACCTATTCAAGTTAATGATCATGTGACAGCAGCTCCATATAAACGCCTGCACACCGCATGTAATGGAATGTGATATGATTACATGCGGTTAGAAAACACTCTCCCTGAATGCACAATCATTGCGTCCAGGGAGAGTTATTGATTCCTAACGGAATGTAATCATATCACGTATCTTTACATGCGGTGTGCAGGCGTTTACATGCAACTGCTGTCACCTGATCATTAACTTAGGTGACAGCTGCCACTTGTAAACGCCAATTCCGGACGCAGAAATCCCTAACTGCACCTAAAGATAGAGGCGTGAATGTAGCCTAATACACTTCTGCCAATGCCACCCCCCACACTCCGCCCCCCCGTACACATAAAAAAAATACAACCCCTGTACATATAATACCCACCACAACCCACCCCCCCCCACACACACACACACACACACACACACACACACACACACACACACACACACACACACACACCGACCTCATCGCCCCTTTGTATCCTGCTATCAGCAATGAAATGCACGAGTCAGTGTTGACACTAGCAGCGTACGTCACGTGACTGGGAGGAACGCCGCTCGGGCGGAACTCTTGTGCCCGGGAATTAGCCGCAGCCCGGGTAAAATAGAGTGACGGAACGTATTGAAACAGAGCTCTTTCCGGTCAGCCGGGTGAGTTATGCGGGTTAAAGGGGTGACAGTGAGCCAGCAGGAGTTTGATATTGAAGGGATGGGGGGGGAAGTGTGCAGGGCTCTCTTTCTTCTCTTCCTGTGAGGTAGATGTAGGCGGAAGTGTCACGGTTGTACTTTGTCAGCCTGGGGTACTACTAGAGCCTTGAGGGGCTCCCCTGCAGTTACAGGCCTAGAGACCGTGGTCAGCTTGGTTCATCTTCCTATTCATTCCGGGGATAAGCAGTTAGGTGGACCCTGACTATGCATCGGTCTTATTTACTAACAGGTAACATCCAGATTCTCCTCTATTTATCATTGTGTGGTTGGTGAATGAAGCAAAGCTGAAGCTGCTTCCAGGTGCCTGTGCTTGTTGGGTAGAGTAGGGAAAGGGTAGACCCTGTGCCAGGTTTTTATTGCTGCCTGTGTGCCCATTGGGGAGATTCCCCCTTCTAGTCATCCTGGTGACCACTGGCATAAATATGGAGGGAAATCCAAAACTTGAGAGTTATCTCCAAAACACAAATCTTACAACTATGTGAAAAATCCCCCTTTTTTAGGAAATTTCCTCTAACTTCCTGTTGCGTTTCCGGGACAGGAAGTGAAGGGGAAACTTCCCTTCCCAGTGGGGGTTTTACCCTTTCCTACTTGATCAACGGAGGATGTGACCACCTTGTGTCACCGGTCTGTGTTTGATGTTGGAGTTGTGTCAGCTACATGCTAGGTTGGGTCGGGCTGCAGTGCACGCCGGGTTGGGTCGGGCTGCAGTGCACGCCGGGTTGGGTCGGGCTGCAGTGCACGCCGGGTTGGGTCGGGCTACAGTGCACGCCGGGTTGGGTCGGGCTGCAGTGCACGCCGGGTTGGGTCGGGCTGCAGTGCACGCCGGGTTGGGTCGGGCTGCAGTGCACGCCGGGTTGGGTCGGGCTGCAGTGCACGCCGGGTTGGGTCGGGCTGCAGTGCACGCCTGAGAGTCACCACGGCCCTGGGCGGCAACACCCTGACCGGCCGCACCATGTTCTGCCACCTGGACGCTCCGGCAAACGCCATAAGCGTCTGCCGGGACGCAGCTCAGGTGGTGGTCGCCGGCCGCAACACATTCAAAATCTACTCCTTGGAAGAGGACCACTTTGCGGAGAAGCTGAACCTGCGGGTGGGCCGGAAGCCCTCGTTGAATTTTAGCTGCGCCGATGTGGTGTGGCACCAGATGGACGAGAACCTTTTGGCCACGGCAGCCACCAACGGGGTGGTGGTGACGTGGAACCTGGGCAAGCCGTCCAGGAACAAGCAGGACCAGCTGTTTACAGAGCATAAAAGGACGGTGAACAAAGTCTGCTTCCACCCCACGGAGGTCTACATGCTGCTCAGCGGGTCCCAAGATGGCTACATGAAATGCTTCGACCTCCGGAAAAAAGACTCTGTCAGCACCTTCTCAGGTACCGCACTCCCATATCATTAGTCGGCACATTTTAAAGATTTTGAAAATGAAAGTTTCAATTAAAGTTGAAGAAACAAATTCTATGGATTCAACCCCCATATAAGGAAAACAAATATTGCCAATTTCTTTTTACCCTCTCCATGCTCCAATGCTGTCCCCGGTGTCCTCCTTAGCCCTGTGTCTGCTGGGCCAAGGCTGATCCTTAGATGTGGTGACTGCATTAGTTTTCGTTTTCTTATTCACCTTAGTGATCCGGGAAGTAACTCGCTTCCTGTGCGAAGGTGACAACGATCACTCACTGTACTGTATCTATAGAAAGCAGTTGTCACCTCAGGCTGCTCTGCTGATTTGGACTGCAAACACCTCCTCCTCCTCTTCTCACCTCCTTTGCATAGATGTTCTGTAGTTCACAGATGATAGCTGTCAAAGCTGATGGCAGTGTACAGGAAGTGACAAGGACATTGGATTTCTGACGGCATCAACAGATCGTTTTCTGTACGTGCAGAAAGTATGCTTAGCCTGAGAAGTGAATACTAAAGCAATCGCCACTAAGGACTAGTAAGCTGATTATATAGACAGGGCTTGAACAATCCGCTCGTCCTCACATCTGTGACGAGAGGACACCGAAGCCCGACGAGTAGCTTCCCGGCCAGCTGTTATAATTAAACGCGATCTCCTTCTGATCTCCTCTCCGTCCCCGAATGCAGGAAGTAATGTATATTACATCACTTCCGCATTCTGCTCTCACTCTCCAGCCTCAGAAGCTGGTGAAGCAGATCTCGGCTTCATCAGCTTCTCTGGGGGTCCCTAGGTGACATTAGGGGTCTTGCAGACCCCTGATGTCTCCATAAAGAGGACCTGTTATGTAACTTGGCTATCACATAGGGGGATTCTTTGCCCCCCATGTGATCGCAATAAAGTTGTGTAAAAAAATGAAAGAAGCATAAAGGAAAAAACAAAAAAACCCACTAAATTTGTTTTTAAAGTCCCCTGCCCCCCACATACACACGCAAACATGCGACAGGTGCGCCTCCGTGCAAAAACTACGATTGCGCCTATTGTGCCACACATGTTACATATCGCCGCGAACGTCGGAGTGCGAGCAATAATTTTAGGGCCAAGCGTTTAAAGCGTTACCTATGGGCAATTTTCAGTGTGGTTGTATTTTGCGGGCGCGCGCAATTTTAAGGCTTGACATGTTTGGTGTCTATTTACACGACGTGACCCCGTCTTTTATATTTTACCAAAAATATTGGTAAGAATAGATGTTTTATAACATAACGTAGGATAAACATTTTGTTTTCTCTAAATTTATGGTACTTTTTTTCATTGTATAGTAAAAAAAATAAAAATCCCCCCACCCTCACCCCACCCCCCCAGTGGTGATAGTATACCTCCAAAAGAAAGCTCTATCTGTCCCTAAAAAAATGTTAACACAACTTGCAAGGCTGTAGTCTGGTCATGCTGACTGGTGAAATTTCTGTCTGACTGACAGGTGAGACGCCCTCAAATTTTTCAAGCCCTGTATATAGAAAATATTTGCTCTTGGCTTTAGATCCTCTTTAAAGGAGAACTATGGGGTCAGGGCTTTTCCCCATAGTTCTCCTTAGCGTTCTCCCATCACCCTAAGCTCAGTATACCGCGAGCTACAGCTCGCGGTATACTGAGACGCCGGAGCGGTTCCCGACATCGATGTCGAGATCCGCCCAGCTGCGTGAGTGACAGCTGGCTCTGCCTATCTAGAGGCAGAGCCAGCTGTACCCGCCCCCTCCCCCGTCCGTTCCACCAGTCAGCGCTGGAGGATCGGAGCGTGGAGGGGGGGGAATCCAGCCCCTCCCCTGTCACGGCAGAGAGCAATGACAGGATCGAGAGGTGAGCGAACGCCGGTATGTGTTCGCTCACCTCCCGATCTACTGAGCCGACCTGTGACAGTCTCATTGTCACAGGTCGGCTTAGAACTATGAGGTGAGTGGAAATCACTCATCTCATAGTTCTCCTTTTAAAGGGCCGGCGCATTACAACATGACTGACTTGATGATCTCATTGCAGGTCAATCTGAGAGCGTGAGAGACGTTCAGTTCAGCATCCGGGATTATTTCACCTTTGCGGCCACTTTTGAGAACGGGAACGTACAGCTGTGGGACATCCGGAGACCCGACCGCTACGAGCGCATGTTCACGGCTCATAATGGACCCGTCTTCTGCTGTGACTGGCACCCCGAGGACAGGCGAGTACCCTGATGGAAGGTTTCTTTGCGTGTGTGTGTGTGTGTCACCATTCTGTTGATTTCCCTCCTCACTTCCTGTCCAGGGGACAGGTAGGGGTGATGACATCTTCAATGAGAGCAGCTAAGATAAACATAAAAATGGTAACCTGGTCCCTTTTAATTGATTTCCCTGCAGAGGCTGGTTGGCGACCGGTGGGCGTGACAAAATGGTCAAGGTGTGGGACATGAACACGAACCGAGCCAAGGAGATCTACTGCGTTCAGACCATCGCTTCCGTGGCGCGCGTAAAGTGGCGGCCCGAAAGAAAGTACCATATAGGGACATGCTCCATGATGGTGGACCACAACATCTACGTGTGGGACGTTAGGCGACCCTTCATCCCGTTCGCCACCTTCGAGGAGCACAAGGACGTGACGACGGGCATCGTTTGGAGACACTGCCACGACCCTTACTTCCTGCTCTCGGGCTCTAAGGACAGCACGTTGTACCAGCACATCTTCAGAGACGCCAAGAGGCCCATAGACCGCGCTAACCCCGAAGGCCTCTGCTACGGCCTGTTTGGGGATCTGGCTTTTGCGGCCAAAGAAAGCCTCATGTCGTCTTTATCATCATCCAGTGACTCTAATAGGAAGCCGTACGATCGGCGCCACCCCATCTTCTTCCTGAGGAAGCCGGACCCCATGGAGCAGTTCGAGAACATATCCAGCGGGTTGAGTGTTTTTGAGGCGGGCGGAGGAGACATGGGCTGGTTCGTAGCCACGGCTGAACGATACGCCTTGGCCGGGAGGCCGCTTTCTGAACTGTGTGATCATAACGCCAAAGTGGCCAGAGAACTAAACCGCTGGCAGGTGAGCTTTAGAGAGCTGAGAGTTCCTTAAGTAAACAAAGGAACGCTGTTTATTTTCTTTTTATTTCCAAAAATATCCAAGACCAAAACAAATCTTGGGAGCCGGGCACTCCATGCGCCTAACAACTGGACACTCATTTTAAAGGTTTGTTTTGTTATCCTCAAGAAGTACAAGCTCGTTTAAGCCCAACTCCAGGCAAATATTACCACCTCCCTCTAACATATTCTATTGGGTCCCTCCCCCAGCTCTGCTCTCTGCACAGGCTGTGTACAGCACAGTGCTAATGTCACTGCTGCTTCTACAAGGTAATACCTGGGCTGGGTTTCTAGCTTAGAATGTTTGGCTCCTGAGGTCCATACAGATGTATTCAGCAGGTAACTATCTCATAGTGTATGGTAATAGTAAGCTGTCATATTTTCTGTGTCCTTTACCTCCTAGGTTGCTCAGACATGGACAATGCTCAGGATCATCTACTGCAGCCAGGGCACCATGCCACCCAGCAATCTGAACCACAGCTTGGGCAAAAGTGGTAACGCCTTGCCACTGCTGAACAGGTGAGTTTGCGGGACTGAAATAGATGTAAAACCTGAGCAAAAGAACACTAAATGTCAATCAAAGGTTGTGACTGCGGTGGAATGTGTGACCGCCCATTAGGTCAAGCATTCCAATGCTTTGTGAGTGCTGGGGAATGTGCGATCTCGAATCCCTCAGGTCACGTGAGTCAGGTCAACATTCCTCACAGCAAAGTGCTTATACTGCGCATGTGGAGGGGGGTGATTCACAAACGGTAACATAACTACCGGAGTGTTAAAATCAGCCAGCGAACGCCGCAGATATATTTTATTATATTTAACACTCCTGCAGTTATGTTACTGTTTGTGAATTACCCCCCTCCCCCTCTGCACCCGCAGTATAAAGCACTTTGCTGTGAGGAATGTCGATGGGCGGTTACACATTCTACCGCAGTGGAAGTGGGCGGGATTACGTTGGAATGTGTGACCGGTGAGGCGTAGTCACAACATTTGATAGAACAGTGTGTTGAAGCACTGTGTCTTATTTTAGCCCGTGTTGCTGATCTGATGCATCTTTGCAGCAGCCACTTCCTGTCTGCATGCATGTGCTCCAGAAATGGCTGCATGTCATTTTTTTTAGGGCAGGTGTCCTGACAGCGACGGCAGTGGATCATGCTTTGCAATAGGGGTTGGCCCAACCGCTTGTAGTCTCCATTAGGAGAACATGTGACCAGGATGACAACAGTTGGAACACAGGAACAGTGTCACCCCATAACAGGAAGGATCTTCATGGCGGGATCACTAGCTGTTATTTTAAAGGAGAACTATGAGGTGAGTGAAAATCACTCATCCTCATAGTTCGAGTCGACGTGCGGCACTGAAACTGTCACACGTCGGCTCAATAGATCAGGAAGTGAGCCAACACATACCATCGCTCGCTCACTTCTCGATCATCTCGCTGCAGAGAGCCGTGTCACCTCTCCCCGCATGGATTCCGATCCTCCAGCGCTGACTGGCGGAACGGACGGGGGAGGGGGCGGGTACAGCTGGCTCTGCCTCTAGATAGGCAGAGCCCGCTGTCACTCACGCAGCTGGGTGAATCTCGACAGTATTGGCGGTGTCCGTATACCGCGAGCTGTAGCTCGCGATATACTGAGCTTTGGGTCACGGAAAGACGCTAGAATATGTCTTCCCGTGGCCCTTCAGAGAACTATGGGGAAAAACACTTTCCTCGTAGTTCTTTTAATGAAAGTTGCAAATTTTGAAATGTTGAAAATGACGTGTAAGCTTTATCATGCTAATGTAATTCCATATTAGATTTCAGTGATTGGGATTACAGATACTTTAAGTGTGACTTGTGCTGTTTCTTGGCTTGCCCTTTGTAACTGGGAACCTCTTCCATCAGCTTCAGCTTAAAGGAGATGCCCTCTGGGATGGGCAGTGAAGCCAGACTGGAGCACAGCAAGGGTGACAGCCGAGCAGACAGTGTTCTGATGGACTCATCGGCCATTAATAATGATGGTAAGGAGAAAGGAAGAGGCTTTTCTTTTGGTTTACGTTGGAGTTTTTTTGTCTTCTTATTATAGCCCCGGAACCCCTCACGCCTACGCCATTCTCACCTACAGTAAGCGAGAATGACGCGTCCCCGCTCCTGCAGCCTCCGGGTATATCCCCGTCCTATATCTCAGGAGGCTGCAGGAGCAGACACTCACGGCGGCTGTTGGGCAGAGCTGATGCATGTCATGGGGGGATGACGACGACTGGCTGCCTGAGCCCAGGAGATGCAGCCAGCTCCTGATGATTAAGAAGGACCGAGATGGCAGAACGGGACCTGGGCTGTGGGAGAAGAGTGGTGGATCGCAGCAGGAAACCGCTGGATTCCATATGCAGGTGAGTATGTGATCTGAAGATAACCTTGCCTAACAAGTAAAGAGGGGTTAAGCAACAAAAAAAAAGCATGGGGGGGGGGGGGGG